ACAGAATTTTCTGCTGAGTGCCCGGCACAACAATCTGTTTGAAGCGTTTGTTCTGAGACTGAGATTCCAATGGCTGACATTGGTTTCGACTTGAACCCCTGGGTAGAGAAAGGATTCAGTGTGGGTGTGCTGCGTCAGGCTGAAATGGGATGGTGGTTTCTGTTTGATTGCTTGAAGAAGGAATGTCTGAAAACTATGGCTAGGCACGCTGGTTCCCCCAGCAAGGCGTTCCGAGTGCTCATGGTCACTTCCTACCGTTGAGCCAGAGTCAGATTCGTGTGCAAGAGGAGAAACTAAAGTCATTGCGCATGCGTTCGAATGAGAATCCCTCCATCTTCTTTACATCTATGAGAGAGACGCTTGGTGTGCTTCAGATGCTGGAAGTTAAGAAAGATGACAGAGAGGTATGCAACCTGATGCTCGAGGGATTGTCACATGAGTGTACGACCCTGCGTGAAACTCTGGTGGTGTTCTGTTCGAATGACCCGTCGTTCATAGAGACTAAAGTGCGTGAGAGGTATCTCGACTTGCTGACTCAACCTGGTCCGAAGAAACACAGTGTTGCACTCATGTCTAAACCTGTGAGGAAAAGTGCGAAGAAGCAGAACCAGAAGTCAAAGTCTAACTCCGAGTCTGATTCGTCTAAGAAAAAGATTTTTCAGGGGAAGTGTTTCAAGTGTGGGGAGAAGGGTCACTTGAAGATGGACTGCCTGGCTCGTGTGATAGCTCATCCCTCTCAGACCGGACCATCCGAGGACGACAAGGATGAGAACGGTGAGAAGTCTGACTTGGTGTTGTTGTTATCTCAAGCCAACTCAAGCGAATGGAGTGATGGCAAGTACATTGCAGCAATGTATGCCAAAATCATGCAGAAGTGGCAAGAGTCCCGTGGTAGCAGTAGAAATGATGCTGTTTTGGAACACCATGATACCATGTATCTTGAAGCGTTGTATACCGAAGCAGAGGATGAGTTGAAGAAGTACGTCGGCAGTGACCGTGTAGTCCGTGATTCTCTTCGCGAACACTCCACTCTTACGAAGAAGGATAGATGCATCGAAGATTGGTATGCGGACACGGGTACAGCTTTCAACATGACAGACTCTCTCTCTTGCATGAAGGATGTGAACCCTTGCCACAACAAAGTAAAAGGAATTGGTGGCGTAACTTGTGAGGTAGCACTATCAGGAACTCTTGAAGTGGCGTTTGTGTCTGCTGACAGCGAGTTTTCTGCAGAGTTGAAGAATGTGCTATATGCCCCCAAGTTAGGGTACAACCTTTTCTCTCCCAGCGCAGAGTTTGATGGCGAGTCATGGAATGGCCTTGGTGGTCCTGACGGTGTGATGACTGCTTTCCACGGGCATGTTACTTTTCAGAATTTCGATGGCATGCTTGTTGCTACTGCGTATCGTCTCGGACATAACTCTATTGGATCGGTGTTGGCTGCCCTCACCCCTTCAAACCCCAAGCGCGTAAAAATCATGGATGTGAACGATTTTCATAACATTTATGGTCATGCGCATGAAGGGATGCTTAGGACCACTGCAAAGCGACTAGGTATCGAGTTGACCGGTAAAATGCATGCTTGTTCGGGATGTTCGATGGGAAAAGCAATTCGTAAGGCGATTGCTCATGTGACTACAAATTCATCAGACAAAAAGTTAGGCAGAGTTTTTGTTAACCTGGGAGGGAAGAAGGGCGTTGCGTCCATAGGGGGCAAACATTACCCCATGATTTTGAAGGATGACTTCACAAGGCGTGCATGGATGTATTTCCTAAGAAGTAAATCAGACGCTGGCAGTGCTTTCCGAAGTTTTCTTGCGAATGTGCGTGCTGATGGGATCCCATCATTGATTGAGATTGTTAGATCTGACAATGGAGGGGAATTTTTCGGTGGAGAATTTGCATCTGTGTGCAATGAGCTCTTGATTAAACAAGAGTTCACCCCGGCTCACAGTCCCGAATTCAATGGTGTTGCGGAACGTGGTTTGGGATTGATAGAAGAGGCCGCAATGGCGGCTCGTATTCAGGCGAAAGTTCTGTTTGGGCATGTGCAGTTACCTAAGACTGATAGACTCTGGGCGGAGGCCATGCACTGGGCCTGCGAGGCACTCAATCACACGGCTTGTTCTGCTAACCCCGACTCCAAATCGCCGTATGAAATGTGGTATGGGGAAGCTCGTCCTGCTAGACCGTATCCGTTTTTGAAGCCAGCGTACTGTAAATGGCAGCGACCGTCTAAGCTGCTACCGAAGGGTGAGAGTTGCTTTTATGTTGGTCCTTCGAGAGACCACCCACGTGATTGTCATAGAGTACTCACCAGAGCTGGGACTATTCAGGAAACGAGGAACGTAACGTGGGAAGCGTTGCCGTCACAGCTCCCTCCACCGCAACCTCCGCTGCCGATAGAGGTCGCAGAGGAGGAAGGGGAGGAAAGTGACGACGATGTAGAAGCTGAGGTATGGCCACTTGTAGGAAGAGGAGTTGCCCACACACTTTTGCGAAATAGTGCAGCGGTCCTCCCAACCTCCCCTAGTAGATCAATTCCCTCCATATCTTCTCAGTCCACTGATGGGGAGGAGCAGGGAGGGCAGGAAACGGGGGAAGTAGAGTCCGAAGATCCGGGAGAGCATGATGAAGTAGAGTCGGAGGATCCGGGAGGGCATGAAGAAGAGTCTATGGATCAGGGAGGGCAGGATACAGAGTCGGCGGGGCCGGGAGGGCAGGAAGTAGAGGTGGAGGCATCTCCTCCAGCCGCTCGCCGTCCGCAGCATGTCGTTGACCTTGCTGATTTTAATACTGCTGCGCGTGAGAGTGATGAGGTCCGAGCTGGTAGAACTCGTGCGCAAACCCGTGCGATAAATCAGCAGAGCGTATCCGGCCTTGTGGCTACTCTAGGACCCATCTCAGCATCAGAGATAGTACATGCACTCATAGCGGAGCAGAGAGCAGGTGATGCAGTAGAATTGCCGAAAGAGCTCATTCAGGACGTAGAGCCAGAGCCTGGTAGCTATCAAGAAGCTCTGCGATCGAAGCATGCCACGATTTGGGATAAAGCCATGTCTGCAGAAGTTGAAGGCTTGATACGAGCAGGAACGTTCACGTTAGCAGCAAAAATCCCAGAAGGTTGTAACGTGATTGATGCTAGATGGGTTTTCAAATGGAAAGCAGACGAAACAGGAAAGATAGTAAAGACCAAGGCTAGGCTTGTAGCGAAGGGCTTCAGGCAGAAGCATGGGGTGACTATCTTGAGACTTTCTCGCCTACTGCAAATGCTGCATCGATTTGATTGGTAGTAGCATTGGCGTGCAAGTATAACTTGGAATTACTCCACTTAGACATTGAGCAAGCCTTTGTTCAGTCGAAATTGGATCACGAGGTGTTCATGAAGTTGCCTCCTGGCTGTGATTCGATGTCAGGAAAAAAAAATGTCCGTTTGAACAAGAGTTTGTACGGTTTGAAGCAAGCATCTAGAACATTTTACAAGAGGCTCGTGTCGGACCTGCTTCGGATAGGTTTCGAGCAGTCTCTGTCTGATCCCTGTGTCCTGCGTTTCATGATGGGAGACGAGGTGATGGGTATAATCGCGATTCATGTGGATGACATTCTGTATGCAGGAACGAAGAGGCTTGCCGAGGTGATTGTAGAGGCACTAGGTGACTCTCTTCCTACGAAGAATTTGGGAAAAGTCATATTTTTTCTTGGTTGCGCATTTAGTCGCGACCGCGAGGCTGGCACGATTGAGATTTCTCAAGAGAGTTACATCAGGAGTGTTCTAGAGAGATTCAATATTTCTCGTACCAGCTCGATCCCCGCTTCCCCTGCCAACGATAGCAGGTCCGTGATGGAGGATGAGGAGGCAGGAGATGTGCCGTTCAGGGAAGTGGTGGGATGCCTGATGTGGATCGCCAACAATACGAGGCCAGAAACTTCGAACGCTGTGCGGACGGTGGCGAGACACTCTCACGAGCCCAAGAAGAGTGACTGGAAGGCAGCCCAGAGGATTTTGAGTAATCTTAAGGAAACGGCACATCTAACTCTGAAGTACAAGCAGGACACTACGGTAGACGTAGGCACGTTAGTGTACGTAGACGCTGACTTTGCCAGCAAGGCCACTGACCGTAGATCAGTTTCTGGAGCATTAGTTCTTGTAGCTGGCTGTCTTGTGTCTTGGTTTTCTTGGACGCAGAAATGTGTCTCACTGTCAACTTCTGAAGCAGAGTATATTGCGATGGGTGACGGTGTTAAGGAGGCTCTCTTTGTGAACGGGATGCTTCAGTTCTTGAGACCTAGTGCGAAGCCTCGGAAAATTGACGTCTTTGAGGACAACGAAGGAGCGATTGCGCTTGCAGAGAATCCGCTTAGCTCGAGTAGGAGTAAGCACATTGACGTGAGGCACCACTTCCTTAGGAATTTGACGGAGGAGGGCGTGATCGAGGTCACCCATGTCCCAAGCAAGGAGCAGCATGCTGACATCCTCACAAAGGCTCTACCGAGAAACCTTTTTGAAGTTCACCGTGACTTAGTCCTTGGCTCAGCAGCTGAGAAGTAGAGATCTGAGTTAGTATCTGATTTTGTATTATTAGGTCTGGTCGAGACGACAGCCCCAAGGGAGGGTGTTCGTGAATTGTGGCTGTAGTATCGAATGTATGACGTGTATTGCGGTGTATGACGTCTTTGAGGACAACGAAGGAGCGATTGCGCTTGCAGAGAATCCGCTTAGCTCGAGTAGGAGTAAGCACATTGACGTGAGGCACCACTTCCTTAGGAATTTGACGGAGGAGGGCGTGATCGAGGTCACCCATGTCCCAAGCAAGGAGCAGCATGCTGACATCCTCACAACGGCTCTACCGAGAAACCTTTTTGAAGTTCGCCGTGACTTTGTCCTTGGCCCAGTAGCTGAGAAGTAGAGATCTGAGTTAGTATCTGATTTTGTATTATTAGGTCTGGTCGAGACGACAGCCCCAAGGGAGGGTGTTCGTGAATTGTGGCTGTAGTATCGAATGTACGACGTGTATTGCGGTGTAGTAGGTGATACTTGGTATTGCAACGAAACGTAACACAAACGTCAGTAGATTGCAGCGAGTAGATTGCAGCGAATAGATTGCAGCGAATAGATTTATTGCTGAGGAAAAGCTGTAGCGAGAAGCCATGGGGAGCGCAGCCCCCACCGTGCTCACTCCACCTTGCCGACCTGTCTCTCCGGGCAAGTTCTCATTAATACACCACATATTTCTCCAGAAGTCACGAGTTTCCAACATTCCACAACAGTCGCAAGACGACCCTGATCGATTCCCCTCCAAGAGAGCATCCTCCGTATCCCCGGGCTACTGCTGCGCAACCCGCCGACATCACTTCAGCAAGACTGATGTAACTTTTCGCCTCCCGGCGATAACGGCCACTTCATTCATGTGGTAGGCGTTCAGGCCGCGAGGTTTTCTCACCCGAAGCCTCTTCGCCAATAAAATCTTGTGGCATTGCCGACTACGGGGAGGAGGGACGGATCCTGTGGAACACACCACGCAGCAACGCGATTGCACTCGATCTTGTCCCAGCGAAGTGATCTTCGGCCAAGAATCGCCAAAACATCTTCCGCTCAAAGCCCGAGGGGAATAACTGGATCGTTGTTTCTATATGACTTCGAAAGTAAAAGGCGAGAAGCTTCACCGATACTTTCACTTTGTAGGGGAACGGCCTGTCTCCCACTTTGACGTAAATACCCAAGAGGAGAGATACTGTCTCGGACCGAGGTACTACACGAACAACCTGTTTTTCCTGCTACCCTACTCAGAAGAGAACATTGCATTATGGCCTGTGTGCAACTGATGGACTGGAACGATGGGACACCGCGCCGTGTTAGGTTGACATGAGCGTTCGTCAAGGAAGACATGATGGGTTCACAGCTGCGGAGATGGACATCAACACTGTTAGAAACAGGTAAGCAAGAGTCATCAACGGATGACAACGTCAACGGTAAGATCAGTTTGTGCACAAACAATACACAAAAGTCGGACCCAAAGACGACAGTTTCAGAAGGCTGGTTATGCACCTTGGTCCCGTGGATCCGGGTGAGAAACGCTCCCTCGCCACAACCGTCACAGCCGATTGGGAGTCCCACACCCGCGAGGCCATGTCCTCCCGTGCTCGGTGCTCTCCACAGTAGCCTCAGTGGAGTTGAACCTCCCAGGATCCATTTTCCCAACACCGACGCACATGTAGCCGCCGTAGGTTGCTTCCTTCTGGTCGATACCGCTCCAGCACGATCCGCCATGTATGACTGTCTCTGTGGGATTAGCACCGACATTCATGAGTGCCTCATCGGAGTATTCCCCACCATCGAAATCATCTCCATGTTCGGGTTCCGACGAGTAACGTGTTCTTATCTCCAGCGGCCTCGCCCGAGGCGCCACAAACATGGATGATACCAGCAGTGGTCGAGGGGAGCCCCCCAAAGCTAACTGTTGGCACTGTTGCCGAAGTAGGGATCTTCCTTCATCATTGTCCTGAGGGATCAGAGCCCTGGAGGCGGTGTAACCACAGGTACGTAAGTTACGAACAAGGGCGACCACGCACGCCGGGCCGATGGGGTAGGTACTATCCAGAGCTTAGGCCGGGGTGCAACATCAATACAAAAAAAAAGGGTACATCCTGGATGCGCTTGAGTTTCGTTAAAAAATCACGCCGGCGCCGGTGTTGCAGGGATGGCATCTGCAGAGACAATCTGCTCCCACGCAATCGAGGCACTATGAAAGTTTTCGACATGTCTCGTCAATCGTCTTGATTCTCAGCGGTCGGTTACTGTGTCTAACATGCGGAGCGGGATGCCTGATACATCCGCTGGTCACAATACTCGACTCAGTTGCCGGGTGGGGTCTTGGTGCATGTGTATGTAGGCCCTGAGACATGAGGAACCTGCTTCGGACAGAACCTATACTTCAACCCCGCTTCTTGCTGAGGCCGGACTGTGCGGTAGCTCCTTGGAAGCGGGCCAATGGAAAGTTTTGTACACACACAGCAAACGAGAGTGTTGGGTAAAATGACTGCTTCAATCTGGTCCGGTGCATCCATGTGGACCCTCGACCGCTGCTTGCCCAGATAGACTCAGTGTTGATTTTTTTGCTTCCCTGGGGAAGAGTTGTCAACAATCAGCGCGCCGTACGAACCATCACCAAACCTAAGGCTACACGACATGCCTCACTTGGCACTCTGTTGTTGTTTACACACAAGAATTACTTCGTATACTTTAACCCGTACAGCTTCAACAGCGGGTGAAACTTCGATTTGGTGCCCAACACAGGCGCAAATACGAGGATTATTCCTTGTTATGGCAGCAGGGGCCCGCCCATCATATCGTATCAGGCCCCAAATATCTTGTCTCTGGCTCACTAGTTTGTCCTCTTTTCCTCCCTGCCACCCGTATTGACTTGCGGAGATCCAGGTGAAGATCGTCTTGGCGAAAGACTGAAGGGCACGAGCCAACATTACATGTCTGCCTATTTCTCCACACAGGAGCCAAACAATGTTTAGCTACGTGCCCATTGTTTGGTTCAAGTCGCACAACCTCCTGTCATATGTTGATACATCCCCCAAATCCGTGTTCAACAAGAGCTGCCTCCAAATCACCGTGTAATGTGACCCTCGTATCCAGCACCTAGACCGTGAAAACATGGTAAAAACAGGCAAAGAGTCTGCAGTATGTATACGTACTGTGTGGTCTTGTTTGAGCAGCCCACATTGACCCAGGGTGGCGCCAGGTGGGTGTGAGTGTGCCACGCTGGTTGCCCGTGGGGCCTGTGCGGGCTAGAGTCCCATACATATGTATCGGAAAAAACCTGGTTGTTGTACGAACTTTTCTCACACGCTGTTTTCCCTACCCAGAACGCCACACACACCTTCCTTTCCGCTCGTTTCGTCAGCGGAAAGGTCCTACCAGGACTACTGCTACTCGGAGGTGCCGTCATACATGATGGTAGTGGGCTATTGTGACGATAGTGCCCGAAAGGTCGAAAACACCAGGGTACACCTTGGGACAATTCCCTGCGTTTTTTTCCCGTCGTGGCGGGTGGTCCCGATACTGGCGGTAATTACCGTCACTCTTGGGTGGTACCGGGAACTGCCGAAGGCGGTACCGCCGCAAAACGAAGTACAGTAGAGGTCCCTGTTTAGTGCCGGGGTGTGCGCAAAAATTTCACCGGAACTATACCGGGCACCGGCCCTATTCTTCAGAGTGCCTGAATAGTGCCGAAGGGGCACTATTCAGGGTCTGAAAATCCCTCAACAGTGCCAGACCGGCACTATTGACGAAATGTGTGACTTCAGAGTGCAGCGCTTGGCTTTGCGGGGCCAACAGAGTACCACATGAAACGCACATGGTGAGATCATGGCATGGGCGTTGCGGGCAGACTGCTGTGCCTCGATAGGGGTGGTTCCTGCCCTGTCGAACACACATATTTTGCTTAATAAGTTAACTGGACGGGACACACATGCTGTACCTTGTTGCAGTACCCACCTCAGCGCACGTACTGCACACTTGTACAACCTGACTTAAACCCTTCACATGAATATCGCAAAGGATGCACATGGCATGGTGCGCCTCTGCGTAGAGCTGTTCGGGTCTGCAGCAGCACGTGTACCCTCTCCTCTGTGTCTGTCTTGTGTGTTGTGTGTGTCTTTTGTGTGTAAGATGACTCAGACATAATAGCAACACATACATTGCCATAGCTCCACACATGCCCTCGCCCGAATCTAGGAAGCCACTGATGCAAAGAGCGGAGGACAGCAGAAGGGTTATTTCAAGCCCAGCCGAAGCCAGGATATCGTGGTATGCTGCATCTCCCAAGTTGATAATCGTACACTCCCAAGATCCAACAGTCATAGTGTCAGCAGCTAGATGACTCAAACAGAATAGCAATACATACACTGCCATAGCTCCACACATGCCCTCGCCTGAAGCTAGGAAGCCACTGATGCAAAGAGCGGAGGATAGCAAAAGGGTTATTTCAAGCCCAGCCGGAGCCAGGATATATTGGTATGCTGCATCAGNCATCAGTGGCTTCCTAGCTTCGGGCGAGGGCATGTGTGGAGCTATGGCAGCGTATGTGTTATTATTTTGTTTGAGTCACCTAGCTGCTGCCACGATGACTGTTGGATCTTGGGAGTGTACGATTATCAAATTGGGAGATGCAGCATACCACGATATCCTGGCTTCGGCTGAGCTTGAATTAACCCTTCTGCTGTCCTCCGCTCTTTCCATCAGTGGCTTACTAGATTCAAGCGAGGGCATTTGTGTAGCTGAGATGTGTGTCTGAGTGAAAAAATATGTAGAGAGTCGTACTGGCATTCGCATCTAGCGCATTGCGCATTGTTCGAATTTTGGCCCCCTTACAGGAACCTTGATTTTTACCCGCTGGCACTGATGTCATTTAATTGTGTGTTGTGTGTTTTTATTATTAGCATCGACCGCGCTAACCGGCTGACCAATGAAAAGACGTCAGTCTCGGTGCGGTTGAAAACACAACACACGTTCATCTGCCATGAACTGGGACCCCGTGAGGGGGCAGGTATGAGGGAGGCTAAACTATCCTTCGGATCAAAGACAGAAACAGCATCAACAGAAAAAAACTGCACGTGTCTACCGAGGCTACTACCTTGTACTCGAGTTCGTTTTGGAGTACTTTCACCAGTATCCTCCTTGTGCTCGTCGCCACCATCATTCTGATCCTCATTTTAACAAGCATCTCGGGGCAGTTCTTCCCTAGTCCTGCGTTTTTTCTTTTGGGGAAGGTCATCTGGCTCAACCCCTTTGCTCTCTTCCACTCCATGTTTTTCTCTTCCATCGTCGTCTTCGTTCTCCTTTCTTCCCTTTCCCTTTCCTTCGTCTCCGTCACTCCCAAAAGTATTATTCTCTTTTCTATCGTTGTCGCAGAGATCCCAAACGATTGGCCCTGGTGCAAGTTGGTCGATCAGTAGCCCATGACGTTTGAATACATCGCGAGTTCGCATGGACAGAAAACGAGCTAGCTCGAAGGTAAACCGTCTCCGAATCCTGTAAGTATGAAAACTTTCAGGCGGACTAACGCTCTTTCGTCGTCAAAATTCCCCCGGCAAAAAGCTTCGTGCGCCAAGTGGTTGGCGATAGCAACGATGAGTCGATTGGTGCCTTTGCCAAGACCACCATCTGTTGAAAAAGCAGCAGTAAGGAGGGTAGATCTAGACGGGTTGAAAGTTCCCGCATAGTGATTTACCATACTTGCAGCTCGATCTTCGAGGGCTGATCCTGGCTTAAGGATCGACTTGTCGATGCTTCGACCTGCTGATGGGTTGACGATTGTTACGTCGATCAGAATGGACTTGGTGCAGAGGTCCTCTTCCTTCTCTCCTGCGTGTAATCCTGGGGGGATTACCAAATCCATCTTGTATAGCCCCTTTCCCCTACCAGTGCCTGTGGTAAAAGGGGAAGAATCCTNGACGATTGTTGCGTCTATAAGAATGGACTTGGTGCAGAGTTCCTCTTCCTTCTCTCCTGCGTGCAATCCCGGGGGGATCACCAAATCCATCTTGTAGAGCCCCTTTCCCCTACCAGTGCCTGTGGTAA